ACCACAATCCTGGGGCCAGATCCTCAGTAGGTACAAACTGCTATAGCTCCACTGACATCAATGGAGCTACCCTGATTTATACCAGCTGAGGATGTGGTCTAAGGCAGTTTCCTCTTCCTGTGAGATCTACTATAGGCCACTCTAAGACAGCTCACTGCACTAGATGGACCTTTTTGTCCGCTCCAGTTTTAGCGTGTGTGTTTAGGGGAGTAGAAGAAAAAAAACCAGACATGTGAGGGCATAGGTATTCAATGGGCACATGTGCATGAATATTCATACAGAGAATACCAGCAGGAAAATAGCAAGAGTGGAGCAAGAGAAGAACAAAGGGCTCGACCCAAAATGAGGGCAAAGGGGGTTAGGTGAAGTGGCTGGAAGTAGGTGGTAGAAAGAGATGGGCAGGTAAGGAAGAGCTAACAGGACAGGTGGAAGAAGGGTCAGACTATGAGCGGAGGGGAAGTTGGGGTTAGCAAGGAGGAAATGAAGGTAAGCAAGGAAGGAAAGAAAGCCGGGTACAGGATGAGGGCAAGTGTTTAAAGGCTGGCATTTGAAACTTGGGCTGCGCTAGAGGGTGGGAAGCCCACTGGGGCCTGTTCCCTCCTTTGAGTTGATAGTGGTAGCCTGGATTCCAACCACAGTTAGAGAGTTAAGCTGTCATGGGATAAGAGGGAAGGTCCCCTCATGGACAAGTAACTGGTTAAAAGATAGGACACAAAGGTTAGGAATAAAGGGTCAGTTTTCAGAATGGAGAGAGGTAAATTGAGGTGTCCCCCAGGAATCTGTACTGAGACCAGTCCTATTCAACATATTCATATATGATCTGAAAAAAGGGGTAAACAGTGAGGTGGCAAAATTTGCAGATGATACCAACTACTCAAGATAGTTAAGTTCCAAGCAGAGTTCAAAGAACTAGAAAAGGATCTCACAAAACAGGGTGACTGGGCAACAAAATGGCAGATGAAATTCAATGTTGATAAATGCAAAGTAATGCACATTGGAAAACAATCCCAATTATACATATAAAATGATGGGGTCTAAATTAGCTGTTACCACTCAAGAAAGATCTTGGAGTCATTGTGGATAGTTCTCTGAAAACATCCATTCAATGGGCATCAGCAGTTCAAAAAGCGAACAGAATGTTGGGAAATCATTAAGCGAGGGATAGATAAGACAAGACAGAAAATATCATATTGCCTCTATATAAATCCATGGTTTGCCCACATCTTAAATCAGGGGTGGGCAAACTTTTTGGCCTGAGGGCCACATCGGGGTTCCAAAACGGTACAGAGGGCTGGGTAGGGAAGGCTGTGCCTCCCCAAACCCTAACCCTATCCATCCTGTCCCACTTCCCACCCCCTGACTGCCCCCCTCAGAACCCTGACCCATCCAACCCCCCCAACTCCTTGTCCCCTGACCACCAACTCCTGGGACCCCCTGCCCCTAACCACTCCCCCAGGACCCCACCCAACCCCCCTTGCTCCATCCCCTGACTTCCCTGACCGCTATCCACACCCCCACCCCCTGACAGGCCCCCCTCTAAAGCCCCTTTCAGAATGCAGCCCTGCAAACATGGGTGGAGGACTCAGGAGGAGCAGGGGCAGCCACACAGCCGGAGAGAAGTGGCAGTTTCCCATTCAAAGTGCCACTTCTCTCCAGCTGGCTGCACAGCTGCCCAATGCTTCGCCCTCGCCACCCGCCTGCTCCCCTGTGGCTGCAGGTGAGCCTCCCTTCCTGCTCTCCCCTGCAGTGCAGCCCCCTCCCACGCTGGCAGCACTGCGAGCTGAGACTGCGGGGGAGAGGGCGAGCCGGGGAGGGGCCAGGAACTAGCCTCCCTGGCTGGGAGCTCAAGGGCCGGGCAGGATTGTCCCATGGGCCGTAGTTTGCTCACCTCTGTCTTAAATACTGCATGAAGATGTGGTCGCTCCATCTCAAAAAAGATATATTGGAATTGGAAAAGGTTCAGAGGAGGGCAACAAAATGATTAGGGGCATGGAACGGCTTCCATGTGGGGAGAGATTAATAAGGCTGGGACTTTCCAGTTTGGAAAAGGGACGACTAAGGGGGGAACATAATACAGGTCTATAAAACCATGACTGGTGTGGAGAAAGTAAATTAGGAAGTGTTCTTTACTCCTTCTCATAACAAGAACTAGGGGTCACCCAATGAAACAGCAGGTTTAAAACAAACAAGAGGAAGTATTTTTTCACACAGCGCACAGTCAACCTGTGAAAAACTCTTTGCCAGGGGATGTTGTGAAGGCCAAGACCATAACACAGTTAAAAAAAATAGGTAAGTTAATGTAGAATAGGTCCATCAATGGCTATTAGCCAGGATGGGCAGGGATGGTGTCCCTAGCCTCTGTTTGCCAGAAGCTGGGAATCGGCAACAGGGGATGGATCACTTGATGATTACCTGTTCTGTTCATTCCCTCTGGGGCACCTGGCACTGGCCACTGTCAGAAGACAGGATATGGGGGGCTAGATGGTCCTTTGGTCTGACCCACTACGACCATTCTTATCTTCACAGTTAGAGGCATCTGTCTTATCCCATCAAAACCAGCACTAATCCAGGCCATTCTGTTATTTCATGTTTGCCTTGTTCCCTCCAGATCTCCATGAAAAGACGACCCATTTTATACGTTTTGAACCTTATCTTCCCAACATGTGCTCTCTACTTACTGGATATGACTATTTTGTTCAGTGCCAGCTCTTTTGGGGACAAGATCAGCTTCCAGCTGTCACTCATCATTGGAGAGTCTGTGTTAGCTCTGATTCTTAAGGACATTCTTCCCACTTCTTCTGATGACCCACCCATAATAGGTACTTGTCTTTATTGAGTAAAAGTCACTTTATATTCGACATGCACTGGATGTAAGGAAGAGAGCAGAATACAAACATGCCACCTATTCAGAGATAGTAAGAAGAGGAACACGTAGCCACTGCAGCAGAGCAGTAATACTTTAAGTCCCTATTCAGAGCAGTTTCTGGACTTGGGGCACTATATTTCTTCTATGAACAGAAGCCCACAGTAGAAAGAACCATGGATCTAGAGGAAGGAAAGGCAGAGAGTTTATCAAGCACATTGTCTTGGTCTTGTTTTGCAGTGATGTTTTTCATAGGTGTCTTTGTCCTAATGATTATGGGTGTATTGGAGACCTGCCTATTAATGCAGCTGAAGAAGAAACCCCACCACCCATTCCTCAAGGCTATGAAACTGCTGAGATGCCGCGAGCAAGATAGAACATCATCCAGAAAGCTCCTAAGCAAGCAGGGTTGGTGTTTGGTTACCTCCATTTGAATATCCGTATCCAGTGTCAGGGTTCTGTCAGTATGGAGCCCCTTATCTCTGGAAATCAATCATGCTAGCAAGCTTAGAACCCAAGTCCATTGTGTTTCAGGCCACATTTGATTATACATTCACACACAGTTAAGACACTTACCTCTCAATGTCATCAAGGTGCATATATTATACTAATGAAATATATTTACATACACACACACACAAAAGAGCTGCACCTTTGTTATTTATGGAGGCTCAGCTGTAAACCTAGCCCCACGCAGAGTCCACCAACTCTGGCCAGCCCCACAAGCCCATTCAGCAAGAACAGTCCCTGAGATTTTCTGATGGAAAAATGTATGAAATTTTAATAAAAACTATCAAGCAAATAAAGTCAAGGTTAGCATCATGCAGGCCTCAGCTCTTGTCCACAATTTACCCTTATGTATATTTACTTTTGGCTGCTGTTCTGCCCATTGTAGGAGATTCGCTGACTGAGATGGCCGTGGGACAAGAGGAGAGGAGGGATTCAAACCCACTTGGAAAGGGAAATATAGAACTACCCATGCTTACGGGAAGAATCAATGAGGAAGGGCAGCGAATTGGGACCCAGGCAGAGCTACAGGAGTATGAGTCAGCTCTGGAGAAGATGTTTTTCTGCAGTCATTTGCTTTTATCACTACTGTTTATCATCATTATTATTGTACAATGGAGTGGTTAAATGTGGGCTAATTGCCTTTTCTAATACTTGCTTCAACCACCTCCCTAAGAAGGTTTTCCTGCTTCTTATGCTTGAATTAAGCTGTATACTGCATGTCTGAATAACAGTGCAAGCTCTGCAGGGCAGGAGCCTTGTTCTTGCATGTGCTTTGTAAAGCAATGTGTACACCTAGGGCATCCCATCAGCAAATAAGTTACATGAATAAAATACATTCATGGAACCAATGTTCCAGCTGACAGGGAATTTTTGGAGTAGGTGTAAGTCATCTTAGCTGTACCTCTCAAAAGTGCTGAACTACACATGGAGATCTGGGGGGAACAAAGCAAAGATGAAATAACACAATGGACTAGATTAGTGCTGGTCTTGATGGGAAGAGACAGGCTCCTCCGACTGTGACAGGAGTCCAGGCTACCATTAACCAGAGCCAATGAGCGTATCATGGACAGGTTACAGAGAAATGCTTGTTTCAGAGTAACAGCCGAGTTAGTCTGTATTCGCAAAAAGAAAAGGAGTACTTGTGGCACCTTAGAGACTAACCAATTTATTTGAGCATGAGCTTTCGTGAGCTACAGCTCACTTCATCGGATGCATACTGAGCTGTAGCTCACGAAAGCTCATGCTCAAATAAATTGGTTAGTCTCTAAGGTGCCACAAGTACTCCTTTTCTTTTTAGAGAAATGCTTGTGCTTGTAATACAGAAAAATGATGAAATTTATAATGGGCTGCTCATTTGGTTCGCTGAACTATTATCTCAGTCACCCGAACAACCTTAAGTTTAATCTGAACGGCAAGAACAGGGAGAGTATTCTACAATCACTAACCCTTGGCATCCTGCTTGGAAGACTCAATCCTGTCCTCCTTCAGGAACTATCTTCACCCTGTAAAGAGTGCAGAGCTTCCAAAACCAATTGCCTGCTTACTTCACAGCATTCATCACTCACTTAAAAAACCCCAAAACTCCTAGTGGATTTAATGTTTAGTTTTGAGATCAAGACAAAGACACTTTTGTGAAGCCCTCTACAATTACTTTATTTAAAAGATTCTAGAGAATTTGACAGTCACCAGAAACTGCTTTTGGACAGATTTACAGGTCTTCAATAGGTTTGTGTGGCCAGTATGGATATTTCTCCTTGTCCAATTTGGTTTCAGGGAAGACCTCATTCAAGTCCTCAAATGTCATCTGATCAAATGGAATCATGGTTCTGAACTTCTCAAGCTTGAAGTGGGAGGAGAGACAAGAAAATGTTAAAGTCAGTTGTAAGCAAGCATTCAAATTAAACTAGATGTACAATTAGAAATTAAAACAAGGTTTCATACCAAGCTGCCTTAAACATGAAATTCACAGGGTAGAACCCATCGAACTTACCTGTTTCTCATACTGGACAATACGGGATTTAGAGGCCTGCACATATTCAGCAGCACTCTTAGCCTGCAAGACAACAAAGGATTTGGTGAGCACATTAATCCTAGATTGTTTCCTGCAGTGAAGCTGTGACTCTCATCCCATTTCACTTTAGCCAGCGAAAGGGAGTCACCATTCTCGTCTTACCTCTTCCTTAAAGAGACACTGACTTTAAAATAGCATCTGCTTTAAATAAAACAGGTAAAAGTAATGTCAAGCCCTTTATCTGCCCCTGATTCTCCTTGCCATTTTTGTGGGTTTACAATAATGGTTTGTTTTCTAATACAAGTTCTCTGTCCCCTGTTGCTATGTGAGATATAAGAGGGAAATTGACTAAGTGCATAGGCAGTTTAATCATTTCCCCAAAGTATTTTCAAAAGCACAAAAGAAACTGAAGAAACAGATTGTTTTTTTATTACAACAGAAAAAAGCTAGTTATCAGTAGTTGTTACAAGTAACACCTACTAAGTAATTTTCTAGACAAGTGATTTTGCCCCCCAAAGCCTGCAAAGATGGAGAGAGGTTTGACGTTACCATTCTTTGTTGCACTGATCGGTTAGGATGTAGATTCAAACACTTTTTAAAGGGATTGCAGTGAGAATCTGAAGTCAGGTAAACTCCCAAAGCCATAGGCTTCAGCCTCTGCTGCTAAGTGTTAAAAAAATTAATATAAGCCACTTTGTTCAAACTTGTTTTGAACAGCGGGTTTACAAGACTCTAGTGACCTAGAAGTTTTTAAGCAGACACATTCTGTAACAGAGGAAGCCACAAGGAGCTTGAGGCTGACAAATTTTCTGGCTAAAGACAACATCAATGACCTGAGTACAACCCCTGGAGTTTGTTACACCCACCCTCCTCTTTCAGACAGAGGAGGAACCCACAGAATTGAAGTGACACTGTGCAATGCTCCATCTTGACCACTGCAGTCTCCAAGAACTCCAACTGCACATTAAAAAGGAGTCAGGCCTATTTTATGCAATTTAGGTGCATCCTTTGGGCTGCTGACAAGATGCCAATATGCTCCTCAGTTGATCAGAGTTTGGCTGCCTTTGTCTTACACTAATTTCAAGTTTATTACACCAGAAGAGCAAGCTGAACTGCAATCCAGTTCCAGACTCTAAATCCCCAAGTGTGGCCATGTATAGGTAGAGAGAACCTATTCATGCTCAAAAGATGCCTATAAGCACAAACCCAGACTTGCAGCTCCTGTACCTCAGCACAACTATCCACCAGCAGACTCCAAGTCAGAATTATTCTACACCACTACAAAGATTAAAGAGAAACTATGTGGCAGGGAAGATTTTTTAAATACTTACAGCTTCCTGTTCCTGGGCATTTATCTTGTCTGTTTGTGTGTCCACAGGCTCAGGAACCTTTAGTGCACTGTACTGTAAATTCAAAAAATAAATTCTAAACGTGTTGCCTCTCAATACTATTAAAAGCTCTGCATGCTCCCAGAGCTAATATTTCCCCAGTAGCCAGACTAGTGCTCTTTGGTCTCCCCAAAAACACTCTCAGACCCTTCCAAGTGAACTGGCTTCCTGTAGTAGGTCACCAATCAACTCAACTTGATGCCAGCTTCACAAATAGCGTTAGCTGGCTCTCATATGTACATAACATACTCAGCACTGCATTGTCACTGTCGTAGTCTTGTACAAAGCCAAAACATGTTAATGCTTCCATACAGCACCAACAATCTAATGCCAAAGGGTTACTATCTTGTCCCACAAACCAAGTCAAGTTATACAGATGTAAAAGAAGCTCCCGAATTCCTCTAAAGGTCAGTGGGTCCTTATGGACTGAGCACAGGACCAGGAGCGAAGAACTGCTACATTCTAATTCCAGCTCGGACACCAATCCCCTGTGTGATTATTGATTATTTGCCCAATGCCCATTTATAAAAAAAGGTTAACATCCACTTCAAAGGATTATTGTTATTACCACACCACTTCGGGGTGTTAACAGTGCTTTTTACTTCCTGCCCTTCAGTGGCAAGGGTTGAAGGGATGTTTGAACAGTCTCTCCCCAGACAGCACAGAGTTATTTCTCAAGCCATCACACGTGATTCAATAGTATTTGCAAAATTTTACTCCAGTAGGCTTCTGGACCAGGTCCTTGGCTACAGCCAAGGAGAACACAGCACAGCTCAGAATGTAATGGAGGTGTACAAAGGTGGCCCTTTTCACTCCTGATACTGGACCAGCTGCATGCAGGCAAGTATCAGAGCATACATCACACTGCTCTAAATTATGCAGACTACTAAAAGTCTCAAGAGGCTAATACAGCAGTTGGGAATCAGCAGAGAATAGGGAAATTCTGACCATATACTCTTTCCTCTGGCCACTTCTACACCTACAGCCAGGAAAACCTATGCAGGCTGCAAGAGAAAAAGCATTAGCTTTATACCACTGGAGGATCCCCCTCCTCTAAAATGACCCTTCCTATTTTTAGTTATGCTAGCTTTTGGGCTGCTTTGTGCTAGCAGTGTGATGCAAAGCAGCTGCACACCACAGCACAGGATCTGGGCCAATACCTCCTAATAATCTCACCTACTAGCCTGCTAGAGGAAAAGTTCAGAGTTCTGTGTCTTGTACATCAGATATGAGCAGTCTCCACTTGGATTTCAAATCAGCAGCAACATCTAATTGAGGACGAGAATCTCACCTTCTTTTCAAACTCATCCACCATGCCAGCCTTAGCAACTGCAGTCTTGTAATAAACCCAGTCAATAGCGGGGGACTTCTCTGGCAAGGAGGTCAACCTGCACAGGTGGAGCAGAACAGCTGATAGCGAGTTCCACACCGAGCAACTCTGCAGTCTCCATTGCCCCGCCCATCATCAGGCCCCAGGGTAGCAACTATGCTAATTTTAGTTGCCAATATTTTCAGACTCATCATTAACATGGAAAGGCAATAAAGCAGCCACACAAAATTCTACATGCCTACATTTGCTTTCCCCCCCCACACACACACACACACGCACTTTGGTGGATTGGCAAGTACAATACTCTCAGTTTTTTCATCATGAACAAGCAGGCAAGGAGAGTTTGTGAATGGGATGGTTAGTTTTCATTATAGTTTTGTAAGGCCGACAAAGGGTTTAAAAAAAAAATAAGCAATGGTATTTTAGCTGTATCTACACTACAGAGAGGGGCAGCAGTTTGTAGAAATGTTGGTGGTGCCCAGAACGCCCAGAGCCTGCCCCCCATCTGCCTAAGGCTCTGGGAGGCAGTTTGGGGGCTGGAGAGGGTGTGTGGGAACGGGGCGGGGGTGCAAGTTCTAGGATGGAGTTTGGGTGCTGGGTGCAGGCTCCGGGCTGGAATAGGGGGTGGGCGTGCAGGAGGGGGTGGGGGCTGCAGGCTCTGGGATGAAGTTTGGGGACAGGAAGGGGTGCGGAGGGAGGGGGACCATAGAACTCGCCACCTAGCACTACAGAACCTGTGCGGGCACAACACTTCTGGCATAGCCCAGTGTAAACACAATGTACATAAACAAAAGAAGGTTTTTTTTCCAGCGTAGGAACACACCTCCCACAGCGATGCTAGCAATGCTGACAAAAGGCCTCTTCAGTCAGCATAGCTGTATCTACACTGAGGGTTTTGTCAGCCTAGCTATGTCATTGGGGGTGGTGTATTTTTCACATGCCTGAATGACACAGCAATGCAGGTATAAATTTTAAGTGTAGGCCAAAGTCTTAGCTGCCATGGCAAACAACATGTGCATCAAGCAATAGCAAATCTAATGTCCAATAGGATTCACTATTGTTTATTGCTGCCAAATCTTGCTAATCGAACACTTTTTAAAAGACTTTTTTGATCAGACCAAATGTAACCTCTCTCAGAACTCCCACTAACATTATAGTTGACTGTAGCACTATGGAGAAGATCAAGAAAGAGCAGAATTTGGCTGTAAAAAAAAAAAAAAAGGCAGGCTTTATCGTGAGGAATTAAGACTCATTTTAACATCCTTATGGCAGGCACACAGTTATGAGAATGCCACTTTACACACCGACTGCCAGTGCTGAATTGCTAATGCCACTGCCTTCTCACCAGAGCAACCTTTTCACACTGAAATATACTCACTTGGCTGAAAGTGCATCGCTGCGTGTTTTCAGGGCATTAAACATAGCTCTCTGATTGGGAGGCACTCTCTCTGCAAATGCCATCCAGTCAATCGCTTTCAGAGTAGCCCTTCGACCTGCCATTTTTGTGTTCTAGAAAAATAAAACAGCAGAGAAACTTAAATTTTAAGAGGAATTCTGAAGAACAGGCACGTTTATTTTTATCAATGTAAAAGTCTGGGTATTTCATCAACTGAAACTTCACTTCAGCTATCTCTTTGCTGCAATTGCACTCATTCTACTAACTAGCACACCAAGAGTAATGCTTATAACAACACTTCACATTCCTTATGTTGCTGAGAAGAGGGAAGCACTTTACAAGCAATAACTGAGCACCTCAGTACTTCACTTACCTAGATAAAATATATAGAGTTCATTTCAACAGGACTCAAATGCATTCATCCCCAGAGTGGATCATGGCAGCACCCAGCAACGCTATCAAACTGTTTAAGACGAAGTAAAGGCTACTCCACCCAGTTACTGGAATTATAACCACCCATGTGTGGTTACCTAGCCACAGAGTCAGGCTCCAGACATCACCCTGCTCTTGGTATGGGAACTTGGATTGTTCCTGATCCCTACATTGATTTAACAGAATTATCATACAGATCAAGGGCTGGAAGGGGCCACAACAGACCACCAAGTCCAGCCCCACGAAGTCACCTCTAACGCCAAGCTAGGACATCATCGGAGGTTTGACTCGGGGGAGAAATTGCTCCTCGACTCACCCCTCCCCCCCAGGCACGCGTCCCCCATAACCCGGCATAGCACGGGGGAGGTGACGGGATGCGAGCGCCCGCTGCGAGGAGGAGGATGCCGCCCCCACCGTCAGCGGACCATAGGGATCCCCGCCCGCCTCGCCTCGCCTCACCACTCCCCTCCCCACGCAAGGCCAGCTAGAGACATCACCTTGCTGGGCAGAGTCCGCCCGCCCGCGCCGGGGTCTCCGTCCCAACCCAAACCACCCGGGTTGGTCTCACCTTCAGCGACCGCAACCACCAGCACCACCCTCCTGCTAGGCAACCTCCGGAAACCCCGTCCGACGCCAACCAATCATAGCCCAGTGGCCCCGGAAGGACTCTCCCGCACTCTCCTCCCACCCCGCCTTAGACAACCCGGAAATGATTATCAACGGCTCTTTCAACACCAATGCAATTTAAAAAATTCTTCCCCTCCTGTTTACTCTTCATTTCAACCGCCAGCCTCCAAAATTCCCCGTTTTCCAGGGACATGTTCCCCCATTCACTTCCGGTTGCTCCGGAAGTAATATTCCACTGTTCCTCATAGGTTGCCCCGTATATTGTATTCCTGTGTTTTTCTTTACTGCCTTGCGCCTGGGGACTCCCCCCTTAGCACAGAATAGCCGTTGGGTTACGTGCGACGCGTGAGGAATTTGGTGTGACTCGGAGGCCGCTGGTGACCCGGAAGTCAAGTCCGGCTCTTCCTGGGAGGGGGAGAGGGGCAGTTGTGAGGGGAGCGATGGCTGCCGGGTGCCGGACCCAACTCTCCCCCCAGCGCTGAGCGAGGGTGGCCGCCCTCGCCTGGGACTCCCCAGGAAGTCACGGTCCAGGATGGCAGAGCTGATGGCGGCGGGGGATGGGCCGGCCCGGGGCCGTACGCCCAGCCCGGTGCTGGGGGGCATCCCGGTTCCTCCCGGGCCGCCGAGCCCTCGCCTCACCGGGCCTGCCTGTTCCGCAGGGGGGCTGTCTCCGCGTAGCTCCGAGCCGCCCGTCCCGGACAAGCCTGGGTCCGGCTCCAAGTGGGTCCGGCTCAATGTGGGCGGCACATACTTCGTGAGCACCCGGCAGACCCTGTGTCGGGAGCCCAAGTCCTTCCTGTGCCGCCTCTGCTGCCAGGACGGGCCCGAGCTGAGCTCGGACAAGGTGAGGGGCTGCGCGGGGCGGGCAACGGGCGCCGTAGAAACCCCCGACGCCGTGTAAACTCATATGGAGACTGCACTCCCCATCGCACCCTAACGGAAGCTTCATCCCTCCCCCGACCCGACTCACCTGCCCCCCGCTAGAGATCCAGAGCGGTCCGTGCCTCCCCTTCCGCCAGGAAATAGCAGGACAAAACTACATACATACATACAAAACCACACTTAACCCGTGTGAGCCATAACCACCAGCACGCCCAAATAGTGGGGGGCAGCGTCTCCTTACAGACTCTAACGCCCCTTCCATTCACAGCAGGCTCCTCTCAGGCGCACACACACCAGTCTAGGCTTTGTGCTACTTCTGCTGGTGGGAGGGGACCTAGCTCTGATCAGACAGTTTAAGGGGGTTGAAGCTGTGGGCATTTATTCACCCAGTATAAACACCAACCGTACCCCTCTCATCCAGATCATCTGCTGTGAGCATAAATCTTTCCTCTGCTACATCTCCTGTCATAAAAGGAGATAGACACAACCTATTACTGTCCCCTGTACTATTCCACTGCAGCTATACCCACATCACAAAGCTAACTACCAGCTTTTTTTCCCACACCCTCCTATACTCAGCACAGATAAGTTTGTATCACATGCCCCCAAATCCTTTAGGCTGCCACCTAAACAATGACTTATTTATAAGGACTAATGAGTTTAGGTAAGTCCTCATCTATTATAAAACACTTGTCTGTTCTCTGGATCAAGTATTTAGTAACTTTTCTCAGCCTAGGAATATATTTGTCATTTCTCCTTTTCTTTATATTCATCTGTGGTTTGCTTTATTACTTACTAAGTGTATTATATATCTATTTACTTTGGTCTGTGGCTTTGAAAACTCAGATTTCAACCTCTCACCCCTGCTGGGAATTTCACAAATAATTCACAGATTTCATTATGTTGGGAACCGCAATCTTTATTTTCTATCATATTCTTTATATAATTCTCACAAAACACTTTAGAGAGAGATTAGATACAGAATTAAAAAACACTCCTTCTTCCCAACTACAAGATTAATCAGGAGTTAAAATTCCTGCCTGTCAAATAATCTGTTTATTAATTGTTATATTTATTATAATTATTATTATAATAGCTCCCATTACCTTAGTATCTCAGTACAGAGTAAGAAGGTTAAATTTGTTAGTCTCTAAGATGCCACAAGTACTCCTTTTCTTTTTGAGAGTAAGAAGGGGCTTTGGGGGTGGGGGGACACACATTTATTCTGCTGTAAAGCAGACTGCCCCAATCTCAGTAGCACCTAATTTGCTCAATGAACAAAATAAGTTGAACCAGTCTGTGGTGTTTAAAAACAGGACTGTGCCCTACTTGTAATGATCATGAATGCTTGCTGCATCAAAGTGTATTTCAAAAAGGTCTGTGCTGTTATTGTGTGTCAACACGTTAAGCTTGGTTCAAGAAATGTTTTTTTCACCTGTTAATTGTTGATAATTTTATAATGTTGTGCACTGGGAAAGGCTCAACATAGATCTAACTTATTATTGCAATGTTGATTTTAAGAAGTGGAAAAATAAGGAGATGCTCGAAGCGTCTGTTGCATAGTTTAGAAATCAACGTGTCCAGAGGAGATGCAAACCATTAATAATTTTCAGTGAAGCCTGGGTTGTATGTGTCTTTTATTTTTCTTTAATTTCCTCAGAAACATTGTTTTGTTTTCTGATTGAACAAGTCACAGAAACAAAAAGCAGACTGACATAAAAAGACTGCAGTTTTTGTAGGAGCAATAACGTTTGTCCCTGTTGTCACAGTGCTGCGTAAGTGCTAATCTGACCTATATTTTTATTTATTTTGACTTACAGGAAAAAACATTTGTCCTTTAAGGTGCCTAGGTTTCATGCCTGCTGCATGGATCCAGTTATAGGATTTGGGGCTTAGTACATAAACAGTCAAATATTTTTAAAATTTCAACATCAATAAATATTGGAACCACCAAGACAAACATGTTACCTTATTGTAACCCTGCCCCGAATCCTACTAATTGTTTATTGCTGTCTGTTATCACATTATGTCTAATTATTGGGCCCACTCCAGCAAATATTCATAAGAGTAGTCCCCATTGCCTCCCTTGAGATAGAGTTTGCAAGATTATGTTCTAAAGTTGTAATATATTCAGGTCACAGACTATCTTATTTGTCTGTAAAGGACAGTAGAAATATTATTTATTTCTAAACCTCATCAGTAGCATTTGGTGCTTTAGGAGAAGATATTTGTGCCAGTAGTTGCATCTAAGAGATTAATTGGTACATACAGACATGCTGAATCCAGCATGGTATGTAAAGATAGAGATTTGAAATAAAGATTAACAAGGACTGTCTGTCTATGGAAATATGATTTAGGGAGAGAAATGAGTAAAATGTTAAATCTGTATCTTGAGTGATAAGCTGAGATTTGGACTGTGTTCAAGGAAGTTTTGTTCAAAAGATATATTTTATGGAACAAGAGCCATTTCAGAGTAGTTGAATTTTAGAGCTGATGCTAATTTGCATTGTGGAGATTGCCTGATTCCCAAAGCGTCCTTTGGCCTTGGTGTAATTTTCAGATAAATGAAATGGCATTTAGGAGTTAGTATAAGGTTTTGAGATTGGTATTTACATATAAACAGAAGGATATTAAAAAAAAAAATTGGAGTTGCCTCTTTTTACATGAAAGAAAACCTAATTCCTGTGATCAGGATGATCTATTTCATGCTATTGCTCCCACACACCAACTTCTCTGGTTCACTTTAACAGGTACTCATGCTGCATCAGAAGTTGCAGAAAGAAAATTAGTATAGACAGGCTCACTTGCCATACTGTACATTCAGACCTTCTCCACCCTGAACACTACTCAATATTGCGAACATGGGCCTGTCTACACTACAGACATTTTGCAAAGTTTTCTCATCATTAACACCAATACAGCTTCAGGGGGTTAGTAATTTTAGGAGTCCCAGTGTAGGGGGGCATCTAGCTTGACTCCCATGTGTGTTTCGCAGGATGAGACCGGGGCATATCTCATCGACAGGGATCCCACTTATTTTGGTCCGATCCTGAACTACCTCCGACATGGAAAACTCATAATAAACAAGGAATTGGCAGAAGAAGGTAAGAAAATTTATTGCAGAGTGAACAACTGTAAATGCCCCATTGGCATTGTTTGACTTGCCAGTCATTACCTAGAGCTAGTCTGGGTGTGGAGGCTTCCTAATACATTAACATGGTGCCTTGTGCGTAAGCTCCATTTTGCAATAATACTGTGTTTTCTTTTAGATTCCCACTAAGACGCTCATGAATAAGATGAAGCTGATATATACTGGAAGCAGAAACCTCTAGATCGTAATGCAGGCTATCCTTGCTATGCTTAACTCATTGGCTTTGAACAGCAAATTGTACTTTTTGAGAAAGAGGAGACATTCTCTAAGAGTGATCTCTCCTGTTCTCTCTTTTCAAAAACTGCAGTCCTGTGTGTCCAGAGACATTAATGGCTTTTTGTAATATGCTGAGATAATGAAACAGGTTGATTTGAGATGGCTAAACCTATTTTGCCAAAAGCCTCCAATAAAAGAGTAGTATTTCCCTATTACAGGCTGGTGGATTACTATAATCCTAGAGAAGGGGGAGTATGCTTCTGTTAGATAGCATATGCTTTCACATAAGGAGGCTATAACCATCTGAGTACAGCATTTTCTTCCAGACTTTGATCAATACCACTATCTATTCTGCATCCATTTATTGTACCACATGCAGGCTAGATTGCAAATATAAAGTTAACTACAAATCGATACCATGCACCGCATCCTTTTGATAAAATTGTCCTTATTCTGTTGATTAACAGAATTCCTTCCTCTGCTTTGGATTTTTGTAGGGGTACTGGAAGAAGCAGAGTTTTACAATATTGCATCCCTGGTGCGTCTGGTGAAGGAGCGGATACGGGACAATGAAAACAGAACCTCTCAAGTAATGCATGTTAAAACTTAAGTAGAAAAACTCAGTCATCAGGATTCAGTCATTTATAAAGGTGTGACAGAGGGACAATGCACTGCAGGGCGAGACATATGGCAGCAGACTTGGTGTTTAGTCTCTCAAGTAGTTGTGTGTCCCTACTTTCTGATGGATCCAACATATCATCGAGAGTGC